AGAAAATCCAATCCAGGACCCGCTGCGCTAATCGGTGGAGCATTCGAGTCTTCAAATGATGAGTTCCCCTTATCCTTTCTTAGTTTAACATTCAATTAAAAATGTATTAAATTTTTTTCAGAAAAGTTCATCAATGAGAATGGCGGCGATGAAGCGGAATATATAGCTGCATCGATGTCGCTTTTCCAATTTGCCAATAACCGCAAGTAATTGAAAGCACGCAACAAGATGTAATAATTAACTTTTTTATGCTTAATTTGTATGTGTTATTGTGAATTTGTATGCTAAAATGTCTATTCCCTATTTATATTTTCGCCACAGTAGATGAGTCCGCTGAAAATTCGCATTTCGTTTAGTTTCTAGATGTTAAGCAATCTATGTATGAGTTTTTAATGAAATATCTTTAAATAAAGTGTTATAAAAATGTTTATAAAAAGCTTTCTTTTGAAAATTTTTAGTAAGTTTATATTCATACGCTTATAAAAAACTTTTTTTGAACCTTTATTATAAGTTTACACTTTTACGCTTATAAAAAGCTTTCTTTTGAACATTTATTACAAGTTTATATTTCTACGCTTATAACCAATGTTCCTTTTCGATTATATTACGCTTACTTTCAAGCGTTTTATAAACAAAAAATCAACGTTTTGTAAGCTTAATGTTTATAATTGAAAACTTAAAAAAAACTTTCTTTAAGTTTATTTTTTTTGTTGGGAACTCAAACTCACACACACATTCTCATTTTCAATCTCAAACAACAACAATTGTGAACAATTTAATTTTTTTATTTTCAATTTTATATGATTTTAAAATGTTGGCAAACGTCAGAACAAAATCATGGCCGACGAATTGAGAGAATGAATTTACCTTGTAATGTTTTTATCATGGATAATACTCTAAAACGCCAGAGTACTTGTTTTCAACAATATTTTAGTATAAAAATAAAGTACACAGGCCAACAAAAATGAAAAAAAATGTTGGTGCGACAAATGTTAAAGCTATTTTTGATAGACTTTTTTGTGCTAATTACGAATCCGTAAGTACAAAGGATCCAACACGTACAGGTTTTGAGAAAATCGAGGTCAAAGTGTCAAAAAATCGGGCTTTTGCAATATTTGAGAAGCTCTAGCAAAGAGTAAAAAGGTGATAGAACCTTTCACTTAGGCTTAGATTAAAGCAAGAACCCTCGACTACTATCCTTGAAAATACCATTCCTGCACATTGAATTTATGGTCACTTATAGTCATTTATTGAGCAGTAAAATTTGATTTTTGGCGAAGTTTGAGTCCCTGCCGCCATTAAACAAAAGGTGATAGAACCTTCCNACTGAACAGCACAAACTGATTTTGGCAGCAATTTTTTTTTTTCAATAGCACAATTTGCCAGCATATTTTTATTGTTCAAGAAATGACTATAAATGGCCATCAAGTAAAGGTGCAGGGATGGTATTTTCAGGGACAGTAGCCTAGGGTTCTAGCTTTAAGTTAAGCCTAAGTGGAAGGTTCTACCACAATTTTACTCTTTGCTCGAGCTTCTCAAATATTGAAAAAAACCCGATTTTTTGACACTTTGACCACGATTTTCTCAAAATCTGTACGTGATGGAATCTTTATAATTACGGATTCGTAATCAGCTCAAAAACAGATTTAACATTCGCCGCACCTGTTGCCCTGTGGTATAGTTCATAAAAACAAAAATGTCATTCATTTTAACTTGCTTGTACACATAATTGTACACAGGAGCCAATAAATTATTTTATATTTATTACATTTTTAAATAGCAATAATTGTTGCGGCGGATTTCGCGGGAGAATAGTCTTTGTTCCAAAATCAAAGGCGTTTGATTAATATTCAATTCAATTGTCTTTATTCACAGCGTTAGTAAAAAGCTACAAAAAACTAAGCGGGTGAACTTCGCGGAGATTGCGGAGAAACGATGCTTAGCGAGAGGTGTTAACAACGAGTGAGTATAAAAAGATGAGCAAAGAACGTACAAGCAAGAAGTGCATAACGATAAGAAAATGTGAAAGTGGTTTACCCATAGGCGCTACAATGCTGACATTAACCCTATTGTGATCATTTACAACTAAATCTTAAGCATAATGCATACTTTAACTCAACATACCGCCGCCCTTGAACTATCTTGATACGTTCAATATAAAAATTACAAATGCATAAAAAAAAGATTGATACTGGCAAATATTTCAAATTACATTTATAGATAAGTTACTATATACTAGACTTCTTCATGAAATATATCACCTTTTGTTGGTAAGAGGCAGAGTTTAACTATGGGCCGAACTAGTTCGCCTTGCGGTGTCTTTAACGGAACCACTCTTACGCGCCCATCAGCACCAGTACGGCATTTAGTAACTCTTGCCAGCGTCCACTTTGTCGGAGGAGTAGGCTCGTTGCAGACCGCAACCACATCACCTTCTTCGATGTTGCGCGAAGTGCGAAACCACTTGGTGCGGCGCAGTTGACTGACGAGATACTCGTCTCTCCAACGGCGCCAGAAATGTCGCCTCATGGCAGAAATAGCTTGCCACCGCTGGCGCAGATCTCCACAGAACCCTTGACCCTGAGGTTCTGGGATTGACTTCAGTGGTTCACCAATAATAAAATGACCAGGGGTTAAGACCTCTAAGTCATCAGCAGCTGCAGAGTTGTCACAGAGCGGTCGGGAGTGCACGCAGGCCTCTACTTCTGTCAGCAGCGTGTTGAACTCTTCATAGGACAATAGAGTTGGCCCCAGTACACGTTTCAGGTGATACTTAATGCGCTTGATGCCTGTTTCCCAGTATCCACCCATATGAGGTGCAGACGGGGGGTTGAAAGGCCACTCGATATTTGAGTCGGCGAAGAACGTACGTAACTTAGCATCTGCCATGCACCGCTGGAATCCAATTCGAAGTTCTTTCTCAGCGCCAACGAAATTCGTGCCGTTGTCAGACGACATGACTTTGAAGTAGCCCCGGCGGTTTATGAATCTTTTGAATGCATTCAGAAACGCTGGTGTTGACAGGTCTCCAACAAATTCCAAGTGCATGGCGCCAGTGCACATGCGAACAAATGAGCAAATGTAACCCTTGGTCGCCTTCGCTCCTCTACCACGGGCGAACTTATATAAGTAAGGCCCAGCGAAGTCAACAGCGTTGCGGGTAAAGCAACGAGCGTGGGTAGTGCGAGCTGCAGGTAAATCGCCCATAGATTGTGTGGCGAGATTGCGGTTTAAACGAGTGTATTTCACGCACTTATGATATATACTGCGTATAAGACTGCGAGCACCAATAAGCCAATATCGGCATTGCAAGACGGTCTGCATAATTCGGGGTCCAGAGTGTAACGTAAACTCGTGAATATCGTGGACGATTAATTTTGCAAGCGGAGAGTTTTCTGGTAAGATGACGGGGTGCTTTACATCAGGAGTAACTGCAGCATGCTTCAAGCGACCTCCAACACGCAAGACGTTTTTCTCATCGAGGTATGGCTGCAAACGCAAAAGACTGCTGCGAGGCGGAACTGGCCTTTTTGCGCTGCAAAGAGAGATTTTGTTAGAGAAATAGAACAATTGGGTATACCTGATCAGGCGCAGCTCAGCTTCTGATTACTCTTGACAACTCGGAGGACCAAATCGCCTAGCAGCATTGAGTGGGGTATTCGCTCGAGCGTTGACAAAAAACGTTAGTACGTAAACGATGAAATGGCGCAGTTTGGAATACGACGAATACTTCAGCATTATAGGCCAGTGCTCGTTTGAGCCCGTCATATGAGCAACGACTTTGCTTCGAACGCCTATCTCGGTTGTGTGCTTTTTAGAGGAGGTTAGTTTCCAGAACTGGTCATCGCTCCTCAAGAATTCGGGGCCCGACCACCACAGTTGTTGACGTTGCAGCTCAGAGGGAGTTATACCCCTAGAGGCACAATCGGATGGATTCAGTTCCGAGCGGCCATGGTTCCAACATTCAGGAGGAGGAATTTCCTGGATGTCAGCGACCCGATTGGCGATGAACGTCATCCATTTGCTAGGATGCGCTTGTATCCATGCCAACGTGATTGTGGAGTCCGTCCAAGCATACAGCGGATAGCGGAGATCGTCCCAACTGTGTAACACGCTTTGCACCAACTTAGCAGCGAGATGCGCAGCGCATAGTTCTAGACGGGGCAGCGTTGTTGTTTTGAGCGGCGCAACTTTGGTCTTCGACCAACAGCAACAGTGACCCGGCCGTCGGGTTGCAAGGTGCGTGCATACATAACGGCGACGTAAGCTCGTTCCGTCAGCAAAGATATGCAGCTCGGTGAACGAACCAGTTGTGCCTGAGCCAATCCAGCGAGTTACCTGCAAGTTCGAAAGAAGTTGCAGCTCTGAACGATGTTCCAACCACTTCATTGCAATAGAGTCAGGAATTACGTCATCCCAACCAACATTGTTACGCCAAATCTCCTGGAACCACATCTTCGATCTTATCGTCGCTGGAGCGAGCAGTCCCAGAGGATCAAAAGCGTGCTAGCATCAGATGAAAACGTTCTCTTCGTTAAAATAGCGGGTGGCTTCTTCAAATTAACCACGAACGTTAGGTAATCCTCTGCTGTATTCCACACTAGACCCAAAGCGTGGACATCCTCACCGTCGGCTAGGTAATGAGATATGGTTTTTGATGCATTTGAAATATTTTCGCAAAGTTCCGTACAATTGATGCCTACTTTCGAAACTCGAAGCCACCTTCTTTCAGGATTTCTGAGATGTTTTGCTGTAAAAGTAGCAACTCTTCTTTGGACGATGTACCAGTGATGAGATCGTCCATGTAAAAGTCTTTGTGGATTGCAGCAGAAGCTTTATCACAAATATGCGAATATTTAGCGGTTTGCTGTAGCGATCTAACAGCTAGATGAGACGCGGCTGCCACGCCGTAAGTTACGCGCAGCATACGATAGTCTTGTATGGGTAAAGTCGGATCTCGACGCCATACAATTCGCTGTAGATCAATATGCTCCGGTGCTACGCATATTTGGCGGTACATTTTCGCAATGTCCGAGGCCACTGCATGGCGATGCGTTCTAAAACGCGTTAAAATCGAAAATAAATCCTGCTGTAGTTGAGGACCGACAAATAATGCGTCGTTCAGCGAATTTCCGGTGGCGGTTTTAGCTGACGCGTTGAAAACGACCCTCATCTTAGTGGTAACGCTCGAATCCTTTACAACAGGATGATGCGGCATGTAAAACATTTGATTCGTTGATTCCGGTGCAAGCTCCATATGATTCATGTCGAGAAGTTCCTGCATGAACTCATTGTAGCGTAGTCGTAGGTCGTCGTCTCGAGCAAGTCGTCTCTCGATACGTAGTAGGCTTCGGACAGCATAACTTCGTGAATCTCCCAGAAGTACGTCGGGTTTCAGCGGCAGTTCAACTACAAAGCGACCGTCAGGTGCTCTTCGGTGCGTTGTTTCGAAGAGTTCTTCGCAGTGACGCTCTTCATACGTGAGGTGGGTCTTTTGCGGCGCTTCTTCTAACTCCCACAGTCTAGTACGAGCCCTATCCAACTGCACATCGCAATGCAGCGACTGTAGACGAGGTGCAGCAGGTTCTAATCCATCGACATTTCCAAATAGCGTCCAACCAAAAACAGTTCGTTGAGTCATCGGCGTGCCAGGTGGACCCTTACGTACTTCTGCGTAGAGGAGCTATTGTATGACGTCCATGCCAACCAGAATGTCGATACGTCCGGATTTCATGAACTGCGGAACGGCTAAGAATAAGCCTTGCACCTGCGGCCACGCTGAAACTGCCAAGGTCTGTGTGGGCAAGTCACTTGTAATCTTGGGTAAGATTAACTCGTTGACAGGGAAGCATTCATCTAAACAATAAGACGGCAATGAAAGCAATACCTCACCTCTAGAGCGGCCTCCTTGCGATGAACCGATGCCAGTAACGAATACTGCGGACGCTTTTCGTGGTAGTCCTAGACGTTGTACACATGCCTCAGTCACGAAGGAAGCATGTGAGCCGGAATCAAATAGCAAGCGAGCGGTTTGCCAATGACCAGAATAATCGCGGACTTTGACTAAGCCGGTAGCCAATAGCACAGTTCTATCTTTTGGACGCGGCGGGTTGGAGTTAGCATTCAAATACGAGAATGTACATGCGGCGGCGGAGCCCGTGGACGAGGCAATAGCAGATGAAGTGTTCGCGTTTGATTGTAGTGCAGCTTTCGCGGCGAGAGGGGATGGCGTGACAGGAGGCGCGTTGTTGGCGAAATGAGCGGTGGTTGTGACGTTAGCTGTAGAAGAGGGATTATGCAGCAGCGTGTGATGACGTTGCTGGCAGATCCTGCATGCAGAGGAGCTATTACATTTCGCCTGGTAATGACCGGAGCTTAAGCAGTTCGTACACACGCGCGCTTCTCTCACAAACTTCGATTTTGCGTTTGAGTCCAGGTTGCGAAACTTATCACAACTATATATTTTGTGAGGACCTTTACAATAGGTACAACATGAGCTGTTTTGTTCCTACCCTGCGTGAAACACATTCGTGGACTTGCTTACGGAAGTGGTTTTACCGTTGGTTGGTGGTGATGCTGACGACGAAAGCATAGCCAGAGAACGGCACCTGACTTACAAAAACGTGGACAGCTGCTCGAACGACGGAGGCTCATCACTGACGAGTGATAGCTCCCACTGTTTTCGCGTCTAGAATGCTAACTTGTTCACTACTTCGTGTACCAACCAATCGTCCCAAAACTCTACTGGTCAACCTAAAGCCTTAAGTTCGCGTATGTGTTGTTGAAATGCGTCGATTACAATTTTTATTGCGTCAGCAGTATCACTAGTAGCCTTTTTAACATCGGCCATAGCTCTGAGATGCCCTTCCACTATTACCCGCATGGCCTTATAGCGCGATTTCAAAAGGTCCCAAGCTTCATCGTAATTAGCGTCACATATTTTGAAGCCACTTATAATTTTTAACGCGTCGCGTTTCAAACAACTACGGAGATAGTGCAGCTTTTTTCCGTGCGACAATGCGGCATTACTATCCACCAGCGAAGAAAATGCTTCGAAAAAACCAATCCATTCCGTGGAGTCACCGGAGAATGTGGGCAGCTCCATTTAGTGCAGACGTATCGATGCAGACACAGGCATTTGAGCGGGCAAGGGGTGTGGTTCGGTACAACACTTCTGTATGCGATTAAAATTGGCTAAAGCGGTAGAATACCATGTCTCGGCTTGAATTCGCACATTTTCTTCGACATCTATATTGTCACTTCCGCACGAGAGTTCTACCGCGTCATGAGCGGTATTGAAACGAACCTACTGTTCGTTAAGGAGTTGCAGATAACTTTTAACACTTTCTGCGTCCATTAAAATGCTTCGTCAGTGGTCTTACCCATATATCGCTTGATGGCATTGAGCGCAGAATAGCGCGTTTTAACGGAGTTCGACATTTTTTATCGTTTTGATTTTGACGAGTCGCTCGTATATCCCAAATTTAATATTTGGCACTTACAAAGGGCGATTGAAGGACGTGATAGGTTTATGGAGGTTCTTAAGGTTAAATGAAGGACGACCGCACCAATGTAACAAACGAGCTAATGCGCTGAAGTAGGCTCTATTTTTTCAAATGCACGCACGGGAATTTTAGCTTTAACGCAACTTGCCGTAATTATTTAACTGCGGTGGCACTTTTTTTTTTAGCAGGGATAGCAATTATAGCTCTGGTATTTTGTTTTAGTTCACTTGCGGGTAGCACTCTGTTTTCTTTAGTTTCTATTTGCGGATTATAATATATATGTATGTATGTGTATTCACTATACATACAAAACTAGCGAGAGAAATTAGCAAATCCGGACCGAAGGACCAATAAATGTTGCGGCGGATTTCGCGCGAGAATAGTCTTTGTTCCAAATCAAAGGCGTTTGATTAATATTCAATTCAATTGTCTTTATTCACTAACAATAATCCTAAATTTTCACAATAATTGTTGCGGGTAAAGCGTTAGTAAAAAGCTACAAAAAATTAAGCGGGTGAACTTCGCGGAGATTGCGGAAAAACGATGCTTAGCGAGCGGGTGTTAACAACGAGTGAGTATAAAAAGATGAGCAAAGAACATACAAGCAAGAAGTGCATAACGATAAGAAAATGTGAAAGTGGTTTACCCATAGGCGCTACAATGCTTACATTAACCCTAATTTGATCATTTACAACTAAATCTTAAGCATAATGCACACATGAACTCAACAATAATGAGATCACTTCCATTTTCAGTATTTAATTTAACTTAATTTGAAGTACACTTTCAAAAAATTTAATTAGAAGCCGGTTTCTCTCTTTGCGCCAGGAAACTTTATACTTAAAATCCTCTCAGCTGCTGCGTTTGAGTGTGGTATTGAAAAAAAAAAACAAAGTTACATATTTTTGCACGTATTTTTCATATACTTCCTTATCGAAAGACTAGGAATTCGATGAAAAGGGTATCTAACTCTATGAGTTGTATGCAAAACTCTTTTACAAGCAAATTGAGAAATAAATAATTATAAAGCTGAACTTACATGAGGCGATTTTCTAGGCGATTCAACAATGCTCAAGAAAAATCGCTTGTCTAAATGATGATTAAAAAATTGCTTGCCTCAAAGTAGACAGCAAGTCAAGTAGCTTAAGTTGTAGGCAAAAACCCTTCGAATATTCAAATTTGCTGTTACCAAACTGCAAGATATTTTCGAGATAACTAACAATACTCGACAAAAAAAAACGTCAGCCTTCTTTTTAAATAATTTAAGCTCCGTCATATTATCGCNATGCTCAAGAAAAATCGCTTGTCTAAATGATGATTAAAAAATTGCTTGCCTCAAAGTAGACAGCAAGTCAAGTAGCTTAAGTTGTAGGCAAAAACCCTTCGAATATTCAAATTTGCTGTTACCAAACTGCAAGATATTTTCGAGATAACTAACAATACTCGACAAAAAAAAACGTCAGCCTTCTTTTTAAATAATTTAAGCTCCGTCATATTATCGCAACAGGTACGTCAAGACCCGGCGATATGCCAATAAACTATTGATCTTTTTGTTGTAATAATTTCTTGGGCATATCAAACATTGTTGGAAACATGTCAAATATATTTAAATTATTTTCTTCTTACTTTTTACAGTGCAGTTTAAGCAAGTCCCAACGTTATGTAAAAACCTTATGAAAATCCTAAAGTATTTGTTTGAATTGAAAATTTAGCACAAATCAGTACAAATTTTGAAAAATCAGGACATTAGCGTACTGACTAAAAACCCAGAATAAACAGTATACAGACGACGCACCACATACAAATAAATTTTTCTTCGCGGACGTAATATTACAACCCGGACAAGAGCAGAGAAGTTAACATCACGACCACTATGAATAACATGAAGTTAACATCGCGCCACAGACACGCATCGTGATCAGCGTTGCCGCGAGCTTGAAAAAAAATTATCAGTTGCCAAGCAGAAAAAGTATCAAAAGCAAACAAAACTGTTGTTTGTTAAACTCATGATACAAAAAAGAAGGTAGTTCCATTACTATTATTTTTTTATTATAAAGCAGATTTTTGACATTTCGCCAAATGTAAACATTAAGCTAGCTTTGCCACATTGGAATTTTTTGAGAAGGGAGTTTTTTTTTAATATTTGGGATTCAATACAAGAGTAAAAAAGGCAAGTTGATGTGATCGATAATCAAATTTGAACGTTTTTCTCAAGCCTAAAAATTACTTTTGAAGAATATCGATGTGCAGAGATAAGGAAATAAAATAAAATCGAGTTTTTATACAGTTCTTTATTTTAAACCAAATAAACAAATTTGCATATGTAACATGTAACAAAACATTAATCTAAAAAAAACCAGAACCAGAACCAGAGTTTGCCGATCGAAAAATATTCATTTTCAAGAACTCTATACAATTTCTACGAAAAGTTGTTTTTCCATATAAAAAACATGTAAAATTTTGACGCTTGGAGCGACCTCTAAATATTTTTTGATTTCAAATTTGAAAAAATATTTTATATATATATATTTTTCCGGTATAGAACAATCCTAGGGGGTGAGAGTATTAAAATTCCGACTTTACTTTTTTTTACCCCCCTAATGTACATGTCTTTATAATATTTTTAAATATTTTTTCGTCATATTTTACAGTCAGTTTTATATACAAAATAAGTTGGTTCGCGAAACTCTTACCAACAATTTTCGGATCGCCATTGCAACTTGCCGACGTGAGTTATGAACGTCGACACGTTTCAATGATGAAAATTGTTGCTAATGGGTTACAGAATGGTATGCATATATGATTTTCCAAATTGTTTTAAATTCGCTAACTCTTTGATGTTCGCATATGACATTTAACTTTTTTCTGTTGTTCGTAATCTTTCATTTTGTATTCAACAATTTTTATTGAGCTCGAGGCCGTTTTTTAATGAAAANTCGGATCGCCATTGCAACTTGCCGACGTGAGTTATGAACGTCGACACGTTTCAATGATGAAAATTGTTGCTAATGGGTTACAGAATGGTATGCATATATGATTTTCCAAATTGTTTTAAATTCGCTAACTCTTTGATGTTCGCATATGACATTTAACTTTTTTCTGTTGTTCGTAATCTTTCATTTTGTATTCAACAATT